GGTTTCTTCTGTCTACGTGTTTGACATATTTTGATTTCGACAGATCATTTTGATTGCATTTGCGAGTTGCGACGTAAATTATTTCAGTGTAGCAAACTTAAGACAATATTATCTCTTGTTATATATTAGTAATTACAGTAAAATGGATTCAGAAATCGTAAGTACTTATTGTTTTATAGAATATGTTTCTAAGTTGCGCGCGCTTACTTTGTGACGCTTACTATTTCCCGCCTTATTTATAACATTGATGTTAATCGTTATAATTTTCTTTTACTAGGTAAAAGGCAAACCTCTTACAAAAGAAGAGACAAAGTCTTTGCTTGGACTAATAGAAGGTAGCAAAATAATAACCACCAAAACAACCAACGCCACAAACAGCAAACTCAAAACGGAAGAGTGGATTCGTTTGGCAGAGCGGTTCAATGCCACAGCTACGAATTGTCCGAGAACACCACAGCAGTTGCGTTTGAAGTGGGAAAATTTAAAAAAGAACTCACGCAAGCGCAGCACCCAAATAAGCATGAACCAAATTAAGGTTATCTACTTCTAACACATGTATATCTTTATTCATAGTCTAAGACTAAGACTTTTAATGGCATGTTGTAATAATAATGTTAAATCTAATATTCTTATTGCAGACTGGTGGTGGTCCTGCCGATTATATACCTCCAGATGACATATTAGACCGGGTGACCAGTCTATTAGGAAGTACAGTCAGTGGGTTTACTGTGCCTTTTGGGGGTGATAAGGAAATGGCTTGGTTTGATGTTTGTGGTGGTGCTGATGGTATAGTTGGAATAAGTGGTGATCTTGAAAAAATTGGAAATGTGACGGTGCAGACAGAACAAATAGTAGATACAAGTGATACCACAATCTCAACACCATTATCTAATAAAAAAGGTATTGAGACTGTGGCCGCTGACTATCAAGTATTGGATCTAGTTGACAAAAATTTAATAACTTCTAATAAAAACAAGAGGCTTACATTTGGTACACCTAGGGCAGGTAATGGTTGTTTTGTAGATTTTTGATTTATTACTGATTAATGTTTCTTGTTTTTTTACCTTTCATACTTTCTTTAGATTTATGAAATACAATATTTATTAATTTAACCTTGTGGAGGATTATTTATGTAAGGCTTATTTAATTGCGTCGATGCAAGCTATCACATCATTTATATCACAGGGAAATCAGACTGTCAATCATAATCATTTGTGAAAGATCTTTTCTTTATGAGATTGACTCTTTGATGTTAATAGTTATAATCTCATTAAAGTATCTTAACCTCCTTACTGAGTTGGATATACTTGCTTTTTCTTCACACTGTAATCTTATAGATGAGATGACAGAATTTTATGAATACTAATGTCTTTGAAACGGCTAAATACAAACAATATCCCATTATTGCATCCACAGTATTATTATATGTTAAGTTTTATGAAAAAAAAAGTAAGTGCACTTGTATTGATTTCACATTTGCTTTGTTTTCCAGAGAAAAAGAAATTTAAGCCAGATGAGAACAGGACAGCCAGGAACACTACTATAGCTGAATATTATTCAGCGAAAAAACAATGCTTGGACGCCAAGTTAAATAATATTAACTTAGAAAATGATTATTTAAAACTAAAAAATGTAGAACTTAAATTGAATAATGAAAAGCTTAAGTTAGAGACTGAGAAATTAAAATTAGAATTAGAGAGGTTAAGAAAGCAATAATGTCTAGTGTAGTATAATAACTTTAATACTTAATTAGTCTGTAGCTCAGTAGTAGTAAACTTGAATATATAAATGATTGTGTAATTGTATAAAATTTAGGAAACTTTAGCATGTAAGTAGGTATTGTTTTCAGCTTATATATGGTCTTATTAACCCAGTTGACGAAGCATTGTCTAAATGAAATAGTGATGAATAAAATTATTACCTATGAAATTAAATGGTTCTTTTCAACACCATTATATTATTGTTTATTTTTATAATTATTTTGAATAAACCAATTTGACCCATTTTACAGTCTTTAATTTTTAAATAAAAAAATTATCGGCATACAGTGAATTCCGACGTTTAACTTACAAATGACTGTTTGCGATAAATACCTCAACTGAGATATTTTTAGCAAATAATTGTTTTTTCAGTATTATTTGTTGACACCTAAATTTTAATAATGCATATAATTATAAGGTCTAACTTATTTTAGACCAAGTTAAGCAATATTTAAAAATATTTGTATGAATTCAATAATCATTAAAATAAGTTGAATTTTAATTTATTCATTTATTGCATTCCCAATTACAAAAGAATAAAAAGTTAACGCTGTTAGGCTTTCTCTACTAGTCAACCCATAGTTCTATTTTAGTGAAGTAATGGTATTAATATAAATCCTTTTATATCTTTTCAAATAAATTATTTGAAAAAAATTAAATTGGGCAGTAATTGGATTAAGGTAGGCTTGTTCTTTTTTGTAGCATGGGGTTTTCGTAGGATTAAAATTTAAACATATAAACTTTTGACATCTTTGATTCATTATTTCAAATGTAATAGGTAAAAATTTCATATATAATAAAACAAACATGGTTTTGAAAAGTATTTAATCTATCTAAAATAATTATTTATAAGGGCTGTTCTTTCAATAACATTCTGAACTTCCGTATAGTACACTTCTTCATTTATTTCCGCTGTTGGCAGCTCCACTTCTGAAGGAACTTCCTCTAAATTGTGGTTCCTACAAATATTGTGCAACACTGCGGTAGCAATTATTATTGCCTGAACCTTAGGCAATGATAAACGCAGTGTTAATGCCACAACAGGGAAGCGACGCTTCCAGACACCAAATGTTCTGAGAAAAAGATGAATGTGTATATTAGAAAAAGCTAGTTACAAGATTTTTTATTTTTATAAATATGAAATAATATGGTAGAATTGAGAACCTCCTTCTTTTCTGCTAAAAATAAAATACTGTTGCATGAATAAGTCAACTAGCGCCATCTAGTGTCAGGAACGAGAGCGAGGGGAGCATTGAGAAAATGACATCACAAATCACTCAACTGACAGCGCCTAGTCGAAACTCGAACGCTCGGTACCTTCCGCGTGTTTACTTGAACATACTGGATATTTCTTTGCTAATTTAAATATATAGGCGCTGCAAGATGCGATGGAAGTAGTATTGAATTGGCGATACGAGCGAAGCTTCGGAGCGAAATTAAGTGAATTAGTGTGTTTAATTATTAGTGTTTTAAGATTTAATTTGTTTAAAGTAAATTAAAGTGTTAATTTAGGTAATTTTATCGGCAATTTTTATTGTCACGAACCTCAAGCTCGTAACAATTGGTGTCAGAAGTGGGATAAAATCATGCCAATTTTACCTAAGGAGGAAACGGAGGGTGTCCGTACCCGAAGTCAACGCCAGCAGGAGACGGACCAACGAAGATTTGGTGGTGCAACGCCGCAGACGTCGGAGGACCAGCCACCGGCTGCAGGCCCGTTGGTAGCTCCTACATCTGCAGCACCTGACTTAGGTGCTCTGATGGTGATGCTGCAGGAGCAGGCTCGCCAGCAGGCGGAACAGGCACGCCGATTGGAAGAGCAGCTGCGGGGCGGACAGGAAGAACAGGCCCGTCGGTTGGAAGAGCAGATGCTCCTCATGAAGGACCTTCACGCTGCCTTCGGGAAGGAGATAAAGGAGGTGAAGGATAGGGTTGATCAGCATGACAACCGCCTGTCGGAAGCCGAAACCCAAATCGCGAAAGCTGAAAACTGAATCGAGAAAGCTGAAACCCGAATCGACCAAGTAAACAATCGGGTTGACAACGTAGTGGCTGACATGAAGAAATCACTAAACGACCTCAAACTTGGGGATGGAACTACAGCTCCCGTAGTAGCTGCAGCACCTTCGCTACGTGGATTCAAAGTGCCGCCGTTCGACGGGACCTCTTCCTGGTCGGCCTACAAAATCCAGTTCGAGGCCGTCATGGAGGCGAACGGCTGGAATAAAAGCCAAGCCATGACTGCACTCACCCTAGGCCTGCGTGACCAAGCCTTAACTGTGTTGGAAGCTCTCGGTAAGAAAGTGACCTATGAGCAGCTTCTTGAGGCCTTGGAAGCGAGATATGGCGACGCTCATCTGGAACACGTCTTTCGCGCACAGCTTAAAGATCGCGTGCAGCGCAGCAACGAGAACCTGCAGCAGTGGGTCCTTGAGGTGGAGAAGATGGTTCGAAAAGCATACCAGTCTGTACCTGCGCTCATTGAAGGGAACCTGGTTCAGACATTCATCGACGGCATCCGCGACCTTGAAGTCAGAGCTGCTGTGAGACTCGGGCACCACGACACGCTTAAGAACGCCTTGGCCCATGCACTGGAGGTGGAAGCCGTGCGGCAGGATCATCGTTCCCATCGCATCAGGGAGGTTGCACCAGCTACAGTTCGCGACCGCAACAGAGGATACAGCTTTAGGTGCTATGGCTGTGGGGAAAAGGGCCATCTTCGATCCAGCTGCCCTAAGCGAACCCTAGAAAGGGAAGGTGAACGATCTCAGGAGGGTAGTGCGGCCAAAAGCACCGCCCTGCAGCAGCAGGGAAACGAGTAAAAGCCAGAACTGCGGGGCGGGTGCTGGCTGATGTTAAAAGAGCCCCAAGGATCTCGATCTCACAAACCCATGACGGGAACAGTCTAATCATCAAGGGCGAGGTCAACGGAATGCCGTGTAAACTGACCATAGACACTGGAGCCTCTCGTACGGTTGTTAGTTCCCAACTTATAAGGCAGTTCCTTGGGGACTCCGCATACAACCGAGAACGCATTAATTTGGTAACAGCCACCGGTCAGCGTATACCCGTCCGTGGAGAGAAGGAGATGGAGTTGAAGCTAGGCAACGTGATCTACCTGCATAATGTCATCGTGGCTGATATAATGGACGACTGCATCCTAGGCTTAGACTTTATGAGGAATAATTGTTGCGAGATCGACGTTAAGCAAGGTGTTTTGAAATGTGGACAGGAGGAACTTTTTATGGAAGGTGCGTTACCAGGGAACGTGTACAGCATCAAGAAGATTGTTCTTCCGCCGAGATCGGAAACGATTGTTCCGGTTAGTCTTCCTCGAAACGCTGGGCAAGCTCACCGTTGTGTACTTGTGGAAAGGGTAAACAATGACCTTCCATGGAAAGTAGCTCGAACCTTGGTCAGGACCACTGACATCTCAGGAGTACGTGTGCTGAACCTTTGCGACCGGGAACAGATTATAGAAAAAGGCACACTGGTTGGTACTTGTGAGGAAGTGGATTGGTTACGTCAGTGCCAATATATATCGAGTGGGACCCCCAGCAAGTACGCCGATGTATTCTCATCAAATGATGCTGACATAGGAAAGACTGGCCTAGTTCAACACAAAATAAACACAGGAGAGGAATTGCCTATCCGTCAGCGGCCAAGAAGATTGCCGGTAGCACGTGAAAAGGAAGTGGAAACTATGATTGAAGGAATGGTGAAGGATGGTGTTATTGAACCTTCCTCTAGTCCATGGTGTTCACCAGTGGTGCTGGTGAAAAAGAAGGATGGCAGCATGCGGTTCTGTGTTGATTACCGCCGTCTGAACGACGTTACAAAGAAGGACAGCTATCCCTTGCCAAAAATTGATGACACGCTGGACATGCTTACAGGAGTAAAATGGTTTAGCACGCTGGATCTAAAAAGTGGCTACTGGCAAGTTGAAATTGACCCTAAGGACAAGGAGAAAACTGCGTTCTCGACGGGAAAGGGTCTGTGGCAATTCAAAGTAATGCCGTTTGGGTTGTGCAATGCTCCAGCAACGTTTGAAAGGCTGATGGAACTTGTACTTACCGGGCTAATTGGCGATGCCTGTCTGGTCTACTTGGATGACATCATCATCGTGGGCCGTACGTTTGAGGAACACCTTCAAAACCTGGAACGAGTGCTCATGAAGATTCAGAGTGCCAACCTCAAGTTGAGCCCGAAGAAATGTTCACTATTTCAACGGCAAGTTAACTTTTTGGGGTTTGTAGTATCGGAAGAAGGTATCCGCACAGATCCAGAAAAAATCGCCGCTGTCAAGGATTGGCCGGTTCCAAAAGACAAGATGCAGGTTAGAGCATTTTTGGGTTTGTGCTCCTATTACCGGCGATTCGTGAAGAACTTTGCAGATATAGCCAAACCTCTGCACAAGCTAACCGAGGAGAAGCGACATTTCTGCTGGGATGAAAGTTGCAATATCGCATTCCAGGAGCTCAAGGACCGTCTGTGCAAAACACCTATTTTGGGATACCCTGATGCAAGCAAAGAATTTATAGTTGACACAGACGCAAGTGATATAGGACTCGGCGGTGTGTTGTCTCAACGGAATGGTGACCAAAAGGTCGTAATAGCGTACTTCAGCAAGTCGTTGTCAAAACCGGAAAGGAACTATTGTGTCACAAGACGCGAATTGCTCGCTGTGGTAAAGTCGTTGCAGCATTTTAGCAAATATCTTCTGGGACGAAAGTTTCACTTACGAACTGACCATGCTGCACTAAAATGGCTATTGCAGTTTAAAAATCCAGAAGGACAAGTTGCGAGGTGGATTGAACTACTGCAGGAATACGACTTTGAGATCGAACAAGGAATGCATTGTCAAGAAGACCTTGTCCTGAAGATTGCAACCATTGTACTAGGCAAGAGAGTAAGGAAGAGGTATCCGTGAGGATGCTCAGGACGGACCACCTCAGCAACGAATGGAAGGACAGCTTACAACATGCACAGCAGGAAGATCCGGACATCAAGCCGATTCTGGAATGGATAAGGGCCAGTGCTCCCAAGCCTAAGTGGAGCGACGTCTCAGCAATGAGTTCAACCACTAAAAGCTATTGGGCCCAGTGGGACAGCTTGCTGCTTCAGGATGGAGTTCTGTGCCGTAAATGGGAAAATGTTCGGGGAGACAGCTGTTATTTACAAATGGTTGTCCCTAAAGCTAAAGTACCGGATGTTCTACAGCTGTACCATAATGATTATTCAGGAGGCCATCTGGGAGTTAAACGAACTCTACTGAAGATCCGAGAACGGTTTTACTGGGTCCACTGTCGAAACGATGTCGAGGACTGGTGTCGCAAATGTACAAGTTGTGTGGCTGTAAAGGGACCTCAGACTCGTAGTAGAGGTGCATTGAAGTTGTACAATGTGGGTGCACCATGGGAGAGAATAGCCATTGACGTGGCGGGGCCGTTTCCGTAGAGTGAAAGCGGTAACAAGTATTTCATGGTTGTGATGGATTACTTCACTAAGTGGCCAGAAGTCTTCGCCATTCCAAATCAAGAAGCTTCAACAGTTGCAGATAAACTAGTTCATGAAGTCTTCTGTCGTTTTGGAGTACCTTTAGAGATTCACAGCGATCAAGGAAGGAATTTTGAGTCTCAAATATTCCAGGAAACTTGCCGAGTTATGGGTACTCATAAAACAAGAACGACTTCTTATCACCCGCAATCTGATGGAATGGTAGAACGATTTAATCAGACATTGGAGAGGTACCTAGCAAAAGTTGTAGACAATCGGCAACGAGATTGGGACAAGCACATACAACCGTTTTTGTTGTCATATCGAAGTTCTGTTCACGAAAGTACAGCAGTGACACCAGCTTTCGCAAACTTTGGAAGAGAATTACGGCTGCCTGCAGACCTGATCACCGGGATACCACCCGATGCTCCACGCAGTATAACCGATTATGCAAATGACTTGCGGAAAAAAATGAATGACGTGTATGAGCACGTCAGACAATCGGGCCAGCAAATGTCTGAAAAGATGAAAACCCGGTATGACCGCAAAATGAACAACAAAGGGTTCGACGAAGGTTCACTTGTGTGGTTGCACAATCCAGTCCGCAGCAAAGGGAAATCTCCTAAGCTTCAAGCTAAATGGGACGGCCCGTACCGGATTGTAACCAGGATCAACGATGTGACCTACCGGATACAGAAAGGCGCAAGAGGGACTCCTAAGATCGTCCATGTGGATCGCTTGGCGCGTTATTATGGGACCGATAATGCTCGGGACGAGCATGTCTTAGGAGGGGGCAGTGTTGCATGAATAAGTCAACTAGCGCCATCTAGTGTCAGGAACAAGAGCGAGGGGAGCATTGAGAAAATGACATCACAAATCACTCAACTGACAGCGCCTAGTCGAAACTCGAACGCTCGGTACCTTCCGCGTGTTTACTTGAACATTCTGGATATTTCTTTGCTAATTTAAATATATAGGCGCTGCAAGATGCGATGGAAGTAGTATTGAATTGGCGATACGAGCGAAGCTTCGGAGCGAAATTAAGTGAATTAGTGTGTTTAATTATTAGTGTTTTAAGATTTAATTTGTTTAAAGTAAATTAAAGTGTTAATTTAGGTAATTTTATCGGCAATTTTTATTGTCACGAACCTCAAGCTCGTAACAATACCTAATACTTGTTAGACATAAACAAAGTAGTTACCTTTCAATAACATTTCTAGTTTTTATGTGTGCTTCATTAGAGCGCTTTTCAGCCTCAGTAACAGGATTTATAATAGGTGTTAACAAATATGGCCTGTTTGGGTAAGCGCTGTCACCAAGCATCCAGCGGTTACCAAACAGACCCGCATCACATTGTGCTGTAAATAAAGACATTTAATTAAATTATTGTAGCACTGAAATATAAGAAATGCTAACAAAATTATTAAACCAGTCAGAAACCTCTAAGAATTGAGTTGTTAAATATTGTAGCATCATGTGTCGAGCCTGGCCAACGGGCAATCACATCCATGAATCTCAAATCAGCATCACAGATGGCTTGGACATTTAAGGAAAAGTAACCTTTACGATTCCTAAATTCTTCACCAATTACAAGACCTAGAAGAAAACATAGTGTATCTTTTTTATATAACAAGAGTGACAAACTAGTATGTAGTTCACACGGTGGTAAGAAGATGCTGTTATAGACCTACGTTTGTTCTACATTTAAGATTGAAATGTAGATGCATTGTCACACCTGAAGACTATGATAAAATACCTCATTATCATATTTCACACAGCATTTTTAACACTTGTATTCTGTGGGAGTGTAGTTCTTCCCCTTTCGAGCCAACCCATTTGTGGTACATATTAAAGCATAGCCATACCACATACCTAATATAGTAAAATAGTGTTTTATAAATGATATTTATGATAAGAAAACAATTTTACCCCATAAATATTAGGAAATACTCACATGGCGATTGGATTCGTATATGAGTGCAATCAATTGCGGCAAGAACTCTAGGAAATCCTTCAATACGATAGAATTTTTCAGTTGGTGTACAAAAATGTATTCATCAAACAAGTTGGCAATTGCTGATGATATATCACGAACTATTCTGCCAGCTGTCGATATAGAGACTCCTACAAAGTCAGCTACAGAAATTAGCATCGTGCCTAATGCATAAAATCGTAGTGTTAGTAAAAGTTGATGGAGTGGTGAAACTCCATTGTTCCTGAAAATTTAAAACTATTACTGAACACCCACACAATACAATGTTTTGAAATTAAATTGCTTTGTGTTTAATTTATTGTTTTACATCATTTCCAAAACTATTTACCTTGTTGAGGTTACACGAATAAACGGCATCAATTCCATTAAAAGCGATGTGAAAGCAGGTTTTGATAACCTAAATCTAAACGTGAACTCGCATCATCCAGGCTCTGCATGTAGTTAACTCTTCTAATTTTTCATGAAGAAGCGCGGTGTCTACTATCAGCATCGCTATCAGTATCCCAATCGGATAACTGAGCCAGCACATCCAAATCACTGTCATCACTATCACTAGAAAATATCGATATTTCCATTTTCTTTCTTTAGTAAAATCAACGCTGTGACGAAATCCCCGGTATTTCTTGGATTGCAATCTGCGATCGTTTACACCGGTCAAAACAAATGTCAAAATGGACAGATAGGTTATTAACATGCACAAACTGTCATTTTCGAACAGAGGCCAATCGTTATTCTGTGATCCGCCCTCTATAGGATAGATTGATTTTAAAGATAGCAAATTCAATGCACAGATCGTTTATTGGCACGCTTTACCCATAAAATGGATTAAAATACCAATCTAAGATAGCAAAAATTGGATCAGGATTGATTATTAATTTCGGGCGTAAAACGGTCCGAATTATTGAACGAAGGAGATCACTAAATCCCAAGAAGTGAAAGTGTATTTTCTATTGTTATTTGCAGACAATTTGCGTCATCTAATGTAGGTTCCGATACAAAAACATTCCATACGTCTTTTATGTACGTAACGACACCGCCATTTTTATTTATAAATTTATTAGTGTGAAACGATTTGCCTGGGATTTGTGGTATGATTGCTCTTTCATTCAAAAAACACTCAGATAGAATAATAGCGTCAAATTCTACATCAAGTCTCGAGAGAACCACTAAGAAGTCATTAAAATTGCGATGTATGCTTCTTATGTTACAGCCTAGTAATGTGAAGTTAGAATAAGACTGTAATGTGTTTGCACAGAGTTCCAGATCAGGAATTGAGTGACATTTTATAGTAAATGTTTTACTAGTATCCTCTTCTACGTCTATGGTGGCCGCTTGGGCCATAAATTGTAAAAAGGGGATATATAAATATTATTATTTCCATGTATAAAGTCACTCGTGATAAAAGATGTAAGTAAACAGTAATATCTGTTAATGGTAAGGTTAGCCCGAGAAAGAATAACCTGTTTATCGTCAAACGATTTTTGCGTTTGTTTGTTCTGTTCAATTTTTTTGTAACAAGGTATTAAAAGTGTAATATTGAAGATAGTTAGATGTTTGTATTGATGCAGTAGTTCATGAATGCTATAGTGTATGAGAGTATGTGTTAACTTGTTGTATTTATGTATGTTAAAAGGTACGCTAATTAATCTACAATTAAATGATAAATACCATACTAAGTAAATATTATACAATTTATAAGATAAGTGAGCTGTTACTGTGAATTAATGCGAGGATTTGCGGTCTATCAAATCTGATGTAGTGACGGGGGCGATCCTGTACGTGTTCACAGACTGCAGACTTCCCGGAGCGTCGATACTTCACATCAGCTATATGTTCTTTAACGCGGGTTTTTATTGATCTTTTAGTTTGTCCTATGTAGGAGAGACAACATTCACAATCAAGCTTGTACACTCCAGGAGTGCGTCCGGTGTTTTAAGTGATAACGCTCGCAATTGGTTGTAGGCCAAAGCAACACTCCGTCGTAGTAGGTAGGTGTAGTGTCGCAAGGCCTGCAGCGATGATTCATAAATAAGTAGCAATAAACACTTACTTTGTCAGTTGAAAGAAATAAGTTGATATAATTTGCTGATTTTACGAGAACGGTATGGGTTATAGAAGACACTTGTATAACGTTTTATTAGACGCACTTGTATTGATAGTTTGGTGTATATTTTTCACTTAATAATACATTTTAAACGAGTGAAAAGAATTAAATACAACTTTGGAACAGTGTACACAACCTCCGCGGTCGACGTATTCGCGCGTTCTCAAGTAATAATAAAGAATATTTAAACCATTCTATACCATATAAACGAGTCCGGTTAAAAAGTTTATTCAAGAATCCTTACTTGCTTAAAGGTACTCATCCACTTTTAACAAATTTCTACTTAAGCTTACAGGTGAATAATTTAAGAACTCAAAGGGCACTTGAAGGAGAACAAAAACGCAGACCGTTAGTTGAGGTAGGAAGTGAAGGCAAGCTCGTTATGCTAGTACAAAAAGATTGTTATTTAGATTTTAACTACAAGATATAAAACACGATTTAAGTTATTCAGACATCATAGAAATTTATATTTAATTATTTTGCTTTATAAAACATATACGATGTATAATTTCACAGGTACCGCTACAGTTTATTAAAGTTCACTGCTGAATATAAGCCTCCCACAGTGGCGAAGCGTCCATAGAAGCCGAGAAGCATGGCTTGCCTTATCAAACTGAATCAATCAATAATATCTATCATTAATATCAACTAATAAAATAACTCGTAAACGGTTTCAAACTATTTCCAATTTCGACACAGGTCATGATCTTGTATAGCCATAGCGATACTGCTGTCATAAAAAATGAGTTTAAATTGAGCGATTAGTACATCTCTCTTGCACGCGCGGGCTTTTTATGGGGCTTTCGTGAAGACAATCGCTCCCTTTCTAATATGTGGCAAAATGTTCTTTAATGAAATATAACAAAGATCGTATATATAACAATTAGTATAGAGAAAAAAAGTTAGGCTTGAGGAATGAAGTGGTCACGGGCAATACGTTGGCAAGTTCACTTCAAATTTCAATGTTTACTCTGTGTCTTTAGCTTGAGCAATTTAATTGAATTTGAAAAATAATAATTAAGTTGAAAATTTATAGTTTTATTGAAAATGGAAGATAATAATGTCCTTCCTTGTGATAAATTGAAGTGTGTTAAAGTGCTAGTCAGAGAGGAAAAGGTAAACGCTTTAAACTTTGTTGAGAAAATACACTAGGTCAAGAGCGTCTTTCAGGCTTATCAATTATTGCAAACAGTAATTGGTACAAATAAAACGTTCACCAACATTTTACGCGGACGTAATCAAATCTTTCCTTAAGAAAGGGAGACGATTCCATTTAGAAAAAAAATAAATTTTTTTTTGATTTTTTGCATAGTTTGTTTATACTTTGTTCATTCTTTATTTTTGTTCGTGTATTGTATTGTATGTAAATATGTTTTTATTTCGCTCAAACAACCCAAAACGGATTTTACCAAAGCCAACGAACGTATGCAATTTCTGATATGTCGTACAATCTGTCCCACTAAACATGTCCACCACTCGACAGCACTGAATATGAAACTGAAGTGTGGAGACAGATCAAGATTGGCGTATTTTTATAAAACTGCTAAAAACAACAATCTATATCTTTATCAATTTATATCTTGGGCTTGCCCTTGTTTGGAGCTCTAGCTTCACCACTGCTCCGCTATAGAATTACCTCATAGAGGGATATGTGCGAGGAAACCGCTGCTGCCCATCTGATTTGTTTCCCTTTGTTGCCTCCTAGGATACTTAGGCAAATTAATACGATAATATATACGATGAATAGGAGAACTTAATGCCTGAAGCACTTACTTTCACTTTTGGGTGATGCGAGTATTTTCTTCATAATGTAAGATTAACAACTGAACTAACGATTCACCCGATGGTGAATGGTTACTTTGGAATGGTAAATTGTAGCCCATTTCGAACAAAGTAGTCTATAGACGTGACTTTAAAAGATACTCATAAGAACAAAGATGAAATCTATCTATTACTTTAAAAAAATCCTCATAGCCTATACTTATATATGCGCTCTGTTTATATTTCATGATATCATCGATGCTTTGTTTTTATTTTAAATTTCACAGTAAGAGAGTAACTCGGTAATCTGATGTAATCTGTGAATTATCTGATCCCCGAATTGACAATGCAATTGTAAATTAATATAATGCTATTTATAAGTGTTGATTTACCATGTGCTTAGCTATGAAGCTAAAGATAATGAGAAAACTCGCATATCCTATTAACTGTCCCGGCCCAAATGATCGCTTTAGCGCATACTGTCCAACTCTAAACGAGTGATGACGACGAAGGTTGTGGAGAGAAGCGTACTCTTTTAATAGCGACCTTAAGAAGGTTTTGGACAGTTGAGAGGATAACTAAGAAATAAAATCTTTTTTGAGGATATGTGAAGACAGATGACACATTAGTTAAGTCATCTTATATTAAGAATGAAAGTATTATTAAAATGTAAGTGGTGGCTTAAGAGCTACCACTATCCCACATCATCCTGTTGGTGCTGTAAAAGGCAGCACAGGAAAATAAAATAAATGACGGGAAGCAGCTTCTTCCTGACAACAGAAGTATAAAGATAATAAAAACTACGCTTGCCTGAGTTGATTACCAAGCGCGGCAACTGTATAAAATATCTCCCTGTGAGGCAATCTATCGGTTGTGACCTATGTTTAGCAGTGGATTTTCCATCATTATAATCATTACAACCCTCACGAGTCAACTGCTGAACATAGGCCTTCCCTAAGGAACGCCGCAAACCACGGTACTGAGATCTTTATTTCTAAGTTTATCATACAGAAAAAACCGAAACATAGCCCTATCTATAGCTCGCTGAGCGATTTTCAGCGTCTTCATTAGGCCAGCAGTGAAGGGCCACGTCTCAGATCCATAAGTCATCACTAGCAACACGCACTTGTTGTACAATCTCGTTTTTAAGGTTTTGAGGTATACCTGACGAGAAGATGTGTCGTAATTTCTCGAACGCTGCCCAACCGAGTTGAATCCGCCGATTAATCTCTCGGTCGAAGTTGGACTCACCTAGTTGGACTTTTGATAGGCTGTAATTACAATACAACAAACAATAGTTTATTTATAGTTATTTATGATCTACTTTTCTAATTAATTTCATCATCATCATCATTACAACCCTTCACAAGTCCACTGCTGAACATAAGCCTCCCCCAAGTAATGCCACAAAGCACGGTCCTGAGCCACCTGCATCCATCGACTTCCTGTATATCTTACCAGGTCGTCACTCCATCTAGTGGGGGGTCGCCCTACACTACTACTAATTATTTTAATATTTCTTTATTTTAATATTACATTTTATGCATTTTCGTCTTTTTTTAAATTGTCTAGAGTTTAATACTTATTTGCAGCGTAACATTTAAATGTCTGAAAAGGATTGTTAGCCCTGTACAAACACAACTGCCCGTATGGGTGGTACACGCTGAAAGTCTATACAAAGCGTTTCGCAAACAACCCCCATACACGAAG